AAATGAATCTATGAGTTACAAACAGGAGGTCACAAGCTGCAGAATTCAAATATGCAGATTACGTATGACATAGTCACTCTAGACAGCCTATTTCACTAAATGGAAATCCAATATTATGAACGAAAGCTAAAGTGTAGGTTTCCTCACCAAAGTATTTTCCATCCAGGGAAGGAATGGATAACTCTCTATAACAGCCTTTCCTGTCCTTTTTACCATGGAGACACCCTTGAAATAACTTGTAGGCTTGTAGGAAATCCCTGTTAAAACTGTTTATATCTATAGCTTTGGGTACATAAAAATGATGAGTACATTGTAGGTTTATTATTAAATAAAAGGATATGAAATGTGCAGTACATATTTGTATTTGGCACCCAGACAGGATTTCAAACAATTATCTATATGACATATAAACTGTATTTTGAGTAATTATCTTGACATGGAAAATATTAATAATGTTCAGTAAATGAAACACAGAGAGTGAAAACTGTAGTGTCCCTTTAAATTGTTGTAGAATAGAGAGGTGCAGATACTGTTCTTACAATGGTGGTCAGTCTAGATGTATCACCCTTATATTGGGATCAGTTGAAAAGTATATTATATCGTTGGTCACTGTTGAAGTGCCACCTTACTTTGGGGTCAGTGGAAAAGTATCATCTTACATTGCTCGACAGTGTAGAGGTTCCCCTCTTACTTGAAAGTCAATGGAAAAGTATTATCTAATATTATTAGACAGTGTAGAAGTGCCCCTTTTTTTTTGGAGTCAGTGGAGAAGTCCCATCTTACATTGCTGGACAGTGTAGAAGTGCCCCCTTACTTTAGAGTCAGTGGGAAAGAAGCATCTTACAGTGTTGAACAGTGTAGAAGTTCCACTCTACCTTTGTAGTCAATGGAAAAGTACCATTTTACATTGTAGGTCAGTGTAGAAGTTCCACTCCAACTTTGGAGACAATGGAAACTAAGGTCAGTTGAAAAATACTATATTGCAGTGCTGGTCACTGTAGTAGTGCCACCCTTACTTTGGGTCAGTGGAAAAGTACCATCTTACATTGGTGGTCAGTGTGGAATTGCCACCTTTATTTTGGGGTCAGTGGAAAAGAGCCATCTAGCATTTGACATTGTAGACGTACTACCCTTACTCTGGGGTCTGGGAGAAGTACCATCTTACATTGGTGGTGTCATGGTCTAGGAGCTGGCATGGAGACCACTGGCTGTAGAAGTAGAGAGGTTCATGAGCAGTAAGCAGTTCACCCAAGGCACGGGGTCTAAGTACTAGCTAGTATTCACCAGAGCTTCTGATGGTGGAGATGGGCTTTTCTGTGTGCTAGTAACAGGTTGCAGTCCTCAGGATTGCTCCATCAGGAGGTGAGCAAGCTGGGGTCTGGTAGCAGATATAGCAGACAGAGATCAAGCAGAAGTTTAGTCAGTAAACAAGCCAAAGGTCTGTAACAAGTAGTAGCTGGATGGGATTAGATGGAAGTGAAGTCGATTACCAAAGCCAAGGGTAAATAACGAGTGGTAGTAAAGATAAGGACAGCAGAAGGTATGCAAGTGTAGCACTACCCCCTTAGGAGTCACTGAGTTATTTCCAGGCTGCCTGTAATTCTGGACCCCTTTCTGAAAACCCAATCCCTGCTGACACCACAGGATTCTTTTGACCAGAGTACATTACCACCAGAAAGTAGACTCACACACAAATTAGAGTAAACTGCAATGATTTTTATATTAAACTTCAACAGCAGAATCTCAATCGGTATTAGCAGGCCTGCTTTTCAGAAGTTAACCCAATACCTTTGGCCTGAGGTGGTGTCTTCCCCAGTGAGCAATGAAAACTAGCAACAAGAGAACTAGCTCACTTTGGACCCTCAGAATCTGATGGCAAGACTTAAATATGATATAAAAGAGCTCTTTGATCATGGTGCTCAATGTCCCTTTAAATGCAGGGAGTATTCTTTTGCACTCTCGCTGGGGCCCAGTTGGTACACAAGTAGGAAGTGATGTGAGTGACAGTTCCTTGCAGGTTTAAAACAGGGGGAGGAAGAAGAAAGGACAAGTACTTTCCCTTGACACTTGACTTGAGTGTTGTCCCCTCTAATGCACTGAGAAAAGGGCAGCCTTGGGCAAATAAGTTGTCAGACTGGCAATAAGTCTTGATGGCAGAGGACAACTCCAGTCTGGGCTGCAGTAACCAATGGCAGTGATGGTAGAAGGGTAGGCCAATGGTTAAGGGAGCACTGATGTGATCTGGCCTGCAGAAAGTGTGCACTGCGGTCAAATTTAATGATTTGACTGTGCTGCAAATGTGGTCAACAGTACCGGATATGAGAACTAGGCCGCAACATGTGTTAACTGAATGCAATGTCAACATCTGTGTGCAGGTAAAGTAGCAGGTATGAGGAGAATTTCAGTGTTCTCTTGCTTAACTGGTGTATGGGACTCTCTCGCCAAATCAGTGGCTTCCAGCGGGTCCAGATTGCTAGAGAGTTTTTTTTTTTTCTTGGGAGAGTGCATGTAATCAGCACAGGGCCAATCAGCACTGTGCAGACAAAGGTCAAGGATTTTGCATCCCCTTAGAGCAGAAAGAAAACTCCTACAAGCTTTAACCGGTGCTCTGTTGAACACTGATAGAAGTCACAAGACTGCTCTAACTGCTAATGAGAAAAGGTATTTAGCAGTTTATAGTTACTAAAATAATTGCATTTCCATGTTCTGTGTACTATGGGAGACCAGATATAGTGAATGTAGGGTCCTGGGTGTAGTAACGCTATAATCAGGAAGTTCATGGGAGGAGCAAAGGGTTCAAGGTTCACTAGAAACAAGACACAAAGCAAGGTTGTCCAAGGAACCAGACAGGGAGCTGTCCAGCATCCCTGTTGGCACAGCTACAATAGCCACAGCTAGACACTGCATAGGTTGCAGTTTCAGACCTGGATCCTGACAGATGGTTAGTGTAGAAGTGCCCCTGTTGCAGAGGTGGCCATTGCTGACTGCTCAAAGAACCCCAAGCAACCCCTGGATGATCCTTGGGGTTCCATGGAAACCTGGTTGAGAAAGGCTGCTCTAGAGACTTTTTCTCATTCAGCTGCAGAACTTTCTATTCCCTTTGTAATGCCATACCTATTATTCTAGCTATAAACAGGGATATAAGGTCTGCTTTCTAGCTGAGAAAATGTAACTAGCTTCCCCTGGCTATCTAGAGGGGCGCTACACTTATGAATGCTTGAGACTTTTGTGATTTAACATTGCAGTCTATGGTACCCCAAATCGCACCAAATTCACAGAAAAGTGGTGCAGGAACCTTTCTTTTTGTCACTATGACTTGAGTCACATTGATTAAGATGCCACACATTGAATTAGTATGCTTTGACTTGTCATGCGACTCTATATCTCACATAAGTAGCAGCAGTGTGAACTGGGACTAAGTGCCCTCTAGGTGCCTGCACTTTAGACCTGCACCACTTCACCCCTCTTACCTTGAGAAACTCTTTAACCACCTCCCACCCGCCATATAAGGTAATGACGGGCGCAAGGCGGTTCTCTCATTCTGGGAGGACGTCATATGACGTCCTTCCACTCTAACAGCACTTTCGCAGCTCTGGGAGAGCGCAGCGCGGTGATCGGTGGTGCGCTGTGTCCCTCAGACATAGTGGATCACCGATCAAGGGAAAGAGCCAAAGACGTCGACTCGGTCATGTGATAAGCTGTGTCCAATCACAACTGATCACATGTAAATAGGAAAATGCCTGTTATCGGCATTTCTCTCCTCACGAGCTGTCACGCTGACAGAGGAGAGGAGAGCCGGTAATCGGCATCCCTCAGAGGGGACATGTACACTGATCATCAGGGCACTGATGATCAGTGTGCCCTGATGATCAGTGTAGCCCCAGCAGTGCCACCTGTCAGTGCCCATCAATGCCAGCTGTCAGTGCCCATCAGTACCACCTGCCAGTGCCTCATCAATGCCACATATCAGTGCCCATCTGAGCTGCCTTTCAGCGTCACCTATCAGTACCAGTCTGTGCCACCTATCAGTGCTGCCAATCAGTGCCACCTATCAGTGCCAGTCAGTGTCGCCTATCAGTGCTGCCTAACAGTGCCAGTCAGTGCCACCTAACAGTGCCAGTCAGTGCCACCTATCAGTGCCATATATGAGTGCTGCCTTTCAGTGCCCATCAGTGATGCCTGTCAATGTCCATCAGTGCCACCTACTAGTGCCTCCTCCCCATCAGTGCCACCTATCAGTGCCCATCAGTGCAGCCTATCAGTGCCCATCACTGCAGCCTCATTAGCACACATCAGTGAAGGAGAAAAATCACTTATTTACAAACTTTTATAACAAAAACTAAGAAAAAACTTTTTTTTTTTCCAAATTTTCAGTGGTTTTTGGTTTGTTTAGCAAAAAATAAAAATCCCAGAGGTGATTAAATACCACCAAAAGAAAGCTCTATCTGTTTCAAAAAAATGATAACAATTTCATATGGGTACAGTGTTGCATGACTGCGCAATTGTCATTCAAAGTGTGACAGCGCTGGAAGCTGAAAACTGGCCTGGGCAGGAAGGGGGTATAAGTGCCCTTTAGGCTAGTGGTTAAAGGGAAACTGTTAGGATAGGACTATGGGAACTGGCATTTCTGCTTATGAAATTGCAAGCTGCAGGAATGTCATCCTTATCTTTGCTTCACTATTTAGTGAGTCACTGACCCAGAACCTGCATATTTGTAGATGTACAAATACCTGAAAAAAAAGGTTGTCCCAGAACAGGCTCCTCCTGAATAGTGAAGGAGGGACAGGGATGACAGGTCTGGAGCCTACATCATCAAGTCGATCCCAACAGGTTTCTTGAAGACTATTAACTGGAAATGGTAAATTTGCTTCTAAGATGAGCCTGCATAAGACAACCGTTTAATTTGAAGCTGTTATTTTTCTTGAAGTGACTTATATAATGTTTATGGCATGCACTCTCATTATCTAGATAGCGGAGCAGCAGATTCAGAAGAGAGACTGATGAACACCCTTTTGAGGGAAGACAGATATAATAAACTCATCCGTCCTGCTTATAACAATACACAGCTGGTCATCATCCATCTCCAGTTGTCTCTGGCTCAGCTGATAAGTGTGGTAAGATGCTTTTCAATTGTTAAAGAGCTGCGTAAAATATATGCTGGTTTATGGAAAATAGTTTTTCACCGTATTCATGGATAAATGATCATTTAAAATATTCTGCATCCTTACAAAATGTAATCCAATACTGACAGCTGACTATTTTAACCCACAAAGAAAGGTCTCTTTGCTGGACTTTGCTTGTCCCCAGTCTCTCACTAGCTGTATGCATTATCAATGCAAAAATCAGGTAGAGAAAGAATGACATAAAGCTGAACTCCAGGCACAAAAAAACGAGTTTCTTGTCTTCCCCCCAGCCCGGACACCACCCCCCATTGACTTCTCTGTCACATCCAACAACGCTACCATCAAACCCCCGCCCTGCAGGCCCGAGTACTTGGTGTCATTCTGGACTCCAACCTATCCTTTCAACCCCAAGTTCAATCTTTAACAAACTCGTGCAGACTCCACCTCCGCAACATCGCCAAAATCCGCACGTTCCTAACCCCAGAAACCACTAAACAGCTCATCCACTCCCTCATCATATCACGACTCGACTACTGCAACGCCCTCCTTACTGGCCTGCCTCGCCGCTGGCTATCCCCGCTTCAGTCGATCCTGAATATGGCTGCCAGACTCATTCACCTTTCCAACCGCTCTGTATCCGCCACCCCCCTCTGCCAATCCCTCCACTGGCTTCCGATTGCGCAACGGATCAAATTCAAAATCCTAACGCTAACGTACAAAGCTGTCCACCATACTGCCCCGAACTACATCACCGACCGAATATCCAAGTACCGCCCAGCACGCACACTCCGCTCCTCACAAAGACCTCCTTCTCTCTAGTTCCCTGGTCTCCTCCTCCCATGCCCGCCTCCAGGACTTCTCCAGGGTGTCACCCATCCTCTGGAACTCCCTGCCCCAACCCATCAGATTATCACCTACTCTGCTCTCCTTTAGGCGCACCCTGAAAACCCATCTCTTCAGGGAAGCCTACCCCACCCCCTGCTAACTTGCCGACCTCCTCCACTCTTTCTACCACTCCATCCCCCACAGCTATCTCCTCCTGTGCCACCATCCCCTCCCTCCTAGATTGTAAGCTCGAAAGAGCAGGGCCCTCGATCCCCTCATGTTTTGCATTGTATTGGTATTGTTCTGTCACATGTTCTGTCCCCCTTTGTAATGTACAGCGCTGAGTGAACTATTGGCGCTTTATAAATACTGTATAATAATAATAATAATAATAATATTTTGAATATATTATTCAATAGCCACAAAAGAATATAAATCCACTTTAAGTTCATTAACTACCTTTGCAAACCCAGTCATGATCTTGTATTAAAATCAATGAAATCATCACTGTGCTATACATAACTGGAGCTGTGGGAGGGTCTGGGAGCAGGTCCTCCCACTACAGGCTGCTTGCAGAAAGCTACAGGAGGGGGTGGAGACCAGACCAGTCACCCTGCACAAAGAGAGAGCAGAAGTGATCGGTCTTTATTACAGGAAGTTCTATCACAGAGTTAACATTTCACACTGGATTACTGCACAGATCTGGCTGAAATACATAAATCACACCGAGATTCAAGCAGGAATAAACATGGCTCTTGTTTTAAGACAATATTTGCTTATCAGCTTTAATTGTCAAGTCTGTAGAAGGTGTATATACCACCTTTAGGATACACAGGCAGCAATACTGCCACTGGGGTAATGCATCCCTGAATTTATACGAGTATTTTTGCATACATTTTTCTGAATAATATTACTTCTCATCAAGTCATTTTTTTTAGGATCCACAGTCATTTTAGTTTGTGATCCCTAATCCAGATCCCTGAACCTATTTAAATTAAACTTGTGCTAAAAGCAATATTTTGGCTGCCATTATTGATCTCTCTTTTTAAAATGCTTTATGCCTGACTGTTATGCTGCTCCTGAACTTTTTGAACCATTCATATATACAAAATTATTTTAGCATTGAATAGTGTAGAGATGGTTAGAGTGCCTGTCAGTTTTGTATTGGATTTTGTGTCCTGCTGGAAAGATTCTGCCTTTCTATTTGTCCTGGTGACCATTCTTACTGAGACAGAAATGATGGGAAATCCATAATGATTGTTGCTAGAACAGGGGAAAATTCTCCAATAGAGACACCTGTTTCCCATACAATTGCATTTCCCTATTTTTTGAGACATTTTGTCTTCCAGTTGTGTCTCAGGAACAGGATGTGAAGGGAATTTTCCCAAATGGGACACAGACAGCAATAAATAAATAAACGGACAATGGTTTTACCCATTCCATCTAAAAAAAATCATGGTTGTAGATTCTGCATACTTTAAGAGCACATAAATCACTATAGAATACGTTACCCTGCTTGTTAACAAAATATAGGATGAGTATCATTAATGCAAACCTGTAGCCAAACTATGGCCAATAAACTATATGCATATTATTAACATGCAGTAAAAGAGCTTTAGAACACATTCTAACTCAACTCTCTAGCTGCTTTTAATGTGAATGGTAAGAAAAAAGTGAGCGCTCTTGGTGTAGCAGCTGTAGCACTAAAGGCAACCATATAAACCTCGATAAAACTGTATAAATAAAAGTGCAGCATTAATAAAATGGCTAATAAAATAATAAAAGTTCATAAAAGTTCATATAATCAGTATTGATGAATCAATATAGGAGAATTCAAATGCTTGTGCTTAGAAATAACGGTAAAATTGCACACTCACCAGAAGCGCATGGGATATGTGCATATAAATATATCCAACATGGACCACTTAGGGAGGTGGGGTACTAGTGTACTAATTAAGAAAACTTTTATTCCATAAAGGTTAGGTAAAAAGGGTACACAATAATGCAGTGATAACGCAGCACTGACCCGATGTTAAAAAAAGATGGCCGCCGGACCTGCACGTGGCTCCGGCGGCATGATGTCACGGTGTGTGTTGGTTCCTCCTTAAGCTTTTCGTGCCACGCACGTCTTTAGAGCGACCTTTTACCATGTGATCAGCTGTGTCCAATGACACAGTAGATCACCGGGTAAATGTAGTTGCTGGTTGTCAGCTATACTTTCCTCACGCTGTCACAGTGTGAGGAAAGTACTGCCGATAACCGGCAATTGTCAGAAAACAGATCGGCACTGATCATCAGTGCTCTGATGATCAGTGCCCAGCAGTGCCACCCACCAGTGTCACCCACCTGTGCCTAGCAGTGCCACCCACAAGTGCCAAGCAGTGCCACCCACCTGTGCCCAACAGTGCCCAGCATTGCCACCCATCTGTGCCCATCAGTGCCTAGCAGTGCCACACACCTGTGCTCAGCAGTGCCCCCATCAGTGCCACCCATTAGTGCTGCCCAGCAGTGCCGCCAGTCAGTGCCATCAGTCAGTGTCACCCATCAGTGCCGTCCATCAGTGCCACCTGTCAGTGCCCATCATTGCTGCATATCATTGCAGCATCATCAGTGCCAGCTCATCAGTGCAGCCTCATCAATGCACATCAGTGAAGGAGAAAAATTACCTGTTTGCAAAATTTTATAATAGAAACAAAGAAAAAACTTTTTTTTTTCAAATTTTTTGCTCTTTTTTTGTTTATAGCGCAAAAAATAAAATCCCCAGTGGCGATTAAATACAACTAAAAGAAAGCCCTATTTGTGTGAAAAAAAAAATATAAAAAAATTTCATCTGGGTACAGTGTTGCATGACAGCGCAATTGTCATTCAAAGTGCGACAATGCTGAAAGCTGAAAATTGGCCTGGGCAGCAAGGGGGTAAATGTGCCCCGTAGGCAAGTGGTTAAGGATTGGCAAGCTGTAATATACCAGATTTCTGTTTATGGGTTTAGTTATGCTGGAATTTCTTTACAGTGCTTATAGATACAGAGATAAATGGCTTGTTTTAGTGATTTTACTGATTTTTAACAATAAATAAATACTTTAATGTTGACTATACTCACCTTTGATTCAAGATGCTGGGTTCTGGGGCTCTGCGCTGGCCACTGACATCTTCCAGGTCTCGACCGTGGATCACTTTCATTGGCCGGGAGTGCAGTCAGCTTCGCCTTTGCCAAATTTGTACAGTGAAAATTTTTTATATGTAAATTCCCACTTTAATGTGCACAATCTAGGGATATGTTTACTTTAAAGTAAGGGGAATGAATTCAGAATTTCAATAGTAACCATTTAAATGCTGTTCACCAGGTCCCGGCAAAAGGGAAGAATTCTAGAAAGCAGCAGAAGCCTTCCATTGGTGTATTATAGACATCAATGGAACATACTGACCAAGCGTAACGTCAACTAAAGGAACTGCTATAAGCAAAAGGAAGAGAGGTTGAAGTTTAATTGAAAATATCCTCCGTATGTATGAACAGTTATGACATTCTATAGTTATCCACATCCTGGAAGAGGCACTCTTTTACTAGTCTTACTACTCTTTTGAAAGCATGGCGATCTGTTGGGGGAGCACTGTATGAAGACCTTGTGTCCTTGAAAAGCATTGCTATTATGTTATTTAAATGGTTGTTATCTGGGAACAGACCTGACCTGATGTTATAATGCAATTTGAGAGTTAACCTGGTTATGTTTGCTTCTAGTAAATGCTTCTCTCTGTGACAGATTGTATCTGTTTACTGTCATGTTTTCTGTTCTGCTCTTCTTTGTTGGCTGTCACTGATTGTAACATTCTTGGCTTTACAAGTGACAAGGAATCATTTGGTAATGACATGAAGAATTCTTAAAATAGAATGTCTGTGTCACTGAGACAGAACCCCTGCAGCTTTCTGGTACAAAGTAACGTTTTGTGACATTTTCACCCAATGGGATGAAATTATCTCAAGGGTGGTTTGAAGTGTAAGGATCGACCTTCCGAAAACTTCATACACTGGATGTCATTTGTATTCTCCTGTAATCTTCTAACCCCCCCCCCCCCCAAAAAAAAAAGATAGATAGATAGACTTCATGATCTTGTATTCATTATTTCAGATCAGTTAAGAAAGAACTCTGCCTCCAACAAGATAATTTTTA